ATGAGTTAAACAACAAGTCTATGCTACTAGTGAGTCTCCGTGATGAGTCTCCGTGATGAGTCTGCCCGGGATTTCGAGATCGCCCAAAATGTCCGGGATTCGGCTTTTGCGTTCTACAGTCGCCATTCATCATGTTTACTGTGGCGAGCAGGACGAGTGAGGGCCGCGGGAGAACAGCGCGAGGCCGGTGGCGTGATTACCGATGAGCGACACCTGTGAGACGAGACGCAATTTTCTTAGCAATGTTAAAACGCACATCAACCGATCACTTGTTTAGCGTTCATGTAAACACTACATTCAGATTCACCAATCGGAATGAATTCAGTTAGATTGAAACAAAAGGTGTGCATGTAAACAATGAATGGCGACTGCAGAAAGCAAAAGCTGAATCCCGGACATCGACGGCCGGACATGTCCGGGAAAAAGAGGATGGTAACCCCTACTACTCAGCTTTCTCCACAGAACAAGAGCCTGCTAGCTTAGCTTAGCTTCCAAAAAAAGATGTCCGACACTATGTGTACATTCTGTGAGTGAGATCCCACCCTCTATGGGCGGGTTAAGAACATGCGGGACAGCCCCTACTACTGACTGTAGTCTTTAGCCTCTGGCCAAAACATCCTCCGATGACGATATTTGCGTCATCGGAGGATTTTTTCCAGACAAAAAATACATAAATCTCTCGTCTCAGGGGGATATGAGGGTGAGGGCACGGTAATTCGAAAATACTACAGGTTTTCTACTAATACAATGCTTAATGCTAAATCCTGAAGTATCCCTTTAAATTTGGGTCAGTTCCTCACTCAAATATATTATATGACTTATAGAGTACCGACGGGTAATATAATGCTTTTTATGTTCGTTAAATGACACAACAAACTGCTAAACATGCCGGTGAGTCAACGCCAGAAATGTTCCTCCTCGTGAAAGCCCTTGTGCTCGCAACAGACGCAGGGTTTCTGCTTGCACCTATAACTGGTAAGTTTCTTCAGTCTCCCCCTCTCTCTGTTTCTACAGATGGTTAAGCCCTACGGATCACGCTGTCACAGTTCATCTCCTCTCGTGTGTGTGACAGCACGCCTGATCCTCCAGGAGCGGCTCAACCCCCCCTACAAACACACTGACATTTCTCAAAGGACCTGTGCTCATAAACACTCGCTCTCTCTCTGTCTGACGCGTGACACATATCGGTCACTGGATCCTTCGTGATGTGATGACATTAGATAATTCTACATTAAACCATGCATTTAATAGACCCCAAACATGGTGGACTTCCATTGTGCACAATGCAAATAATGAGTTTTCTTTATCAAAATAAGTATTTGAAGTCGTTTTCGTAAAAAGGATCCAAAAACACTTTATTTTAAAGTGTCCTTGTTACACATTACATGTATAGTATTAACTATCATGCATAACTACATGAAATTAACCCTAACCCTATGTAGTTCATTCATATTACTCAGTATAATTACACTGTAACAAGGACACCTTAAAATAAAGAGGATCCTCAAAACAATCGAAATAATCAATATTCAGCATAAATTGAGATGTTGTTTTCCTGTTTATTAATGTGAATCTGCTTTGAAACAATCTGAATTGTATAAAGTGCTGTATAAATACATGTGACTTGACAGCATAATCTTGTGACAAAACACATTTTGTCAATGGAATAAAAATATGTAATTTAATTTAAATTGTTAATGAATTCTTTTAATTCAATTCAAGATACACTCTCTGACAACAAGTCTTAATTTATTATGCAATTTTGCTTCTCAAATAAATTTACATTTTATTTTACAGTGTCTGTTACACAGTTACATGTTGTAAAAACAGTAAATTATGTATAATTACATGCAACTAGCCCTAACCGTTACCCTATAGTAAGTACATGTTAATTAATATTACACTTCAATGTATAATTACACTGTAACAAGGACACCTTAAAAATAGTGTAAAAAAAATAAAGATTTTTTTTGCAGCCTTAAACTTTCAATTCCAGACTCACTTTTTTTACATGTGAGCTTAAAAAATTTATAAATAAACTTTGAAATATATGATTCACTTAGATTTTTTACACTACATTTGAAATAAATGTTAAAAATAATTCCTTGATAAAAGAATTTGATGAAACTGTCGCATTTACATCAAGTTATCTGACTACTGTACTCAAGATCAAGCATCATATTTATCACAGAGATGTCCTTTATAACTATTGCAGTCGTGAGTGAATTTTGTGGCTAGTTTGCGTTAAAGATATTAAATTATGTAGGTTGTGGAGAGAAACCACTGCATTACGCTTGAGAACCACAGATGGACACGACCGCAGAAACACTGATGAGAACAATACTGAAACATCTTAACGACACGGAGAAGTGAAGTCTTATTCAGAAAGCTTATTTTTCATAGCTACCTTCAAGCTTTCTCCATCCAAACCGCATACATGTTATTAATGATTGATGGTGGCTGGCCTTTATTTACAGATCTGTCATGCACTGTTAGCAATGCACATTAAAACTTGATTCTGCAGCTTTGTGCTCGTCTACAGACCAAAACTGGGTCAAACCGCAAACGCAGAGAGAGAGTCAGAGACGGAGAGAAGTCTATAAAGTAATCCGAAAGCTTCTGGACTTTCTGATGGTGACATTACATTTCACTCCTGCTCAAATGAAGAAATAGTGCACTCAAAAATCAATCATTTACTCACCTTCATGTCCATCCAAACCCGTATGAGCTTCTTTTTCCTGTGACACAAAAAAAGACATATTTTAAGCCTTAGAATAAAAGTCAATGGCAAAAAAACATGACAGAATTTAATTTTTTTAAGTGAACAATCGCTTTAATGTTGCAATTTCTATGTATTGCTGTTAAATTTGCAAGTTGTTAATATTTGATTATTATTTATAAATCAGCATTATTATTTTTTTTATTAAATATTTATTTAATTTAATAGTAAGTATTTTAATTAAATGTAACTACAAAATTAAATATGGTTTAATTCTAATTGGTATTTTTTGCACTGCTTTTGGCAATATTTAATTTACATTTTCAATTAAATATGGTTTAATTTTAATTGGTAAAACCTTGTTTGCACTGCTTTTGGAATACAATATTTTATTTAATGTAATTTTTTATTTAAATATGGTTATATTTTAATAACCTTTTTGGACTACTTTGCCAATATAATATTTTATTTTTAACTTAAATATGGTTATATTCATTTTTTTTATGTATTATGCTTAGTATACAGTGTATACAATACAATATCAAATTTAATGTTTTTATTTATATTTATTTAAATAAGGTTTTATTTGAAAAACCTTTTTGCACTGCTTTTGCCAATATAATATTTAATTAAATGTTTTAATTAAATACAGTGTTATATTGATTTGAAAGTTTATTAAAACTTTTTTTGCACTGCTTTTGGCAATACAAATAAACAGTTCTTGTTATGGCAATAAAACACACTAAACTGAAACTGAAACAAGTCCATAAAGTGCTGCGTTAAGGCTGCTAAAGTTTCCATCAGTGACTTTAAATTGCACGGCGGCCCAATTAAGTAAACTGTCCCGCCACAGCGAGGCTGAAGTGTCTCGCCTTCTCCTTAATGGACTGAAGCGGGCAGGTTTCCCTAATTTGGACCCACTTGAGCTTGTGCCAATAGCAGGGAGGCAGGAGGGGCCTGTGCCTGATTGTACTGCCCCAAGGCATCCCTCCTAGAGAATATATATATCTGCCTCTCTCTCTTGTTCATCCATGTGTGTGTGTGTGTGTGTGTGCGCATGCATCTCTCTCCCCTCATAAAACACCGAACGCACATCAGCGGCCGCCTCTGGAACACAACATGACACAGACGCACAGCAGGTAAGTCAAGCCGTTATCTGCGGATTAAAGTTATTATGGCATAAGTTTATGTGTACTACTGTACTTAGTGTGATTGTGACGCGTAACTGAAGCTGATGCAGCGTTGTGCACTTACTGAGATGAACTACTGAGATGCCAATCAAATGAGTCTTGATTCACTTTTTTTTTAAAGGAGCTGTATGTGATGTTATTATGTGACATAATGTGAAAATATGATATGATATGTGAAAATAGACATCAGGGATAGTTGTTGCGTGTGTTTTGCAGTATCTCTATATAAGGTTTTGAGTAATAAGTCCAATTACACAATCTAGGAGTGGTTTTGTGTGTTGGTTTCAAATGTAAAGTTCAAAACTATCTTTAAATGGAATAATTGAGTAAATTCTATGTGCAAAACTAAAATTCCACAGTTCATTTTTGTAATATTTTATAATTAAATTACACTTGGAATACAAAGTCAGGTTCATCTGTATTTCAAAAGTAAATTCTAAGCAAAAAGTTAGTTTTTTTTTTTCATAAATGTTTGTCGGGCCACATTGTCAGATTTATATGGGGGCATGTTGTCACATCTGTTTCAAATGTTGCAACTGCATAGAATTTAGTACAATATTTGTCGACTTTATTCTGCCGTTTCATTTATTTCATACTTGTCTTTCTGTTTAAATGTTGAGATCTAGGTTGTTTAATGGCAATATGTTCAATAGCAGCTTTTTATAGGCATGTATGCAACCATACATAAAACAAAAAGATCCTTAGAAATATTTACTCGAGTTAATATTCAAAGAGCCCTGAGCTATACATAAAGACATATTAAATAAATAATAATCGATATGAAATCGTTAATAAATATATGAAATTGGCCACCCTGGCCTTTAAAGAAAAACACAGAATTTCTAAAATAATACCTTGTTTTTAATGAATTGATCTGCATTTATTTTATTATTAAATACAAATTTTGATTCATAATGAACAATATAAAAACGTATTATTGTAATCAATCACATACTTTAGATAGGGTGATGAGAGATTGTCATTTAACATTAAATCTAGACTAATACTTAAATCAAATATGACAGAATCAAAGGCAAAGCTGAAATTGATTTTAGATACGTGTTTATTTTACAGATTCTGCAAAAAGAGTCAAATTGAGAAAACTTCAAGTGTCATGATCCAACTCATTCTGCTGAACCACTGTGGAGGTACGACACACACACACACACACACACTTTCAACCTATTCAAACATGCTTTGCCACACTATAATTCACACATAGAGCGCCCAAAACAATGCTCTGATTTCAAATAATAGCCACTTAAAACTTTAAAATATATTACATGCCGATATATCAATCCATGCGTTTTGTTCGCTGTTGCCCTATGTGTGTGCGTGTGTGTGTGTGTTCTCAGTTGTTGGATTCCACCACAGTATGTCGATGCTTTTAGCAAGCGTCCCTATTTAAACGAGACAATACATATTTAACACACAGCGATCAGAGTGTGTCCATGCGAGTGTCATTGGCCAGCGTCCGACCGAACCCCGAGGGCCTTAAAACTGACACACACACACACACACATGCACACCACAAAGAATGTCCCGCAGTGAGAACAACTCTAAAATAATTTTATTGATTAACGCTAACAGCAGCATTTGATGTCCAGTTAAAACCACAGAACGGGTTGAGCACAACTGCAATATGACCAAAACACACACACACACACACTGTTCCTGTAAATGATCTATAACATGCAAAACTCCCATAGATACGCTGTTAAATACTGCCAGGATTTAAGGACAGACAGATTGCAGCAGAAAGTTGCAGAAGTGATTTCATTATTTCTTTGAGTGCTGTAATAGATGAAAGATGTGTGAAATTCCTCGCCACTCGTCTTCTTTAAACCCAAATCACTTCGGGCTCTCGTTGTCTCAACACCCCGAGATACGAGCCACTAAACTCATGCCTCACAGCGGGACATTTCATCCTCCTCTTTATTTCCTGCCTGTAATCTGCTTCATTCTCTTCTCTTTTCATTCTCTCTTTCCACCCAAAGGAAAACGCCAGGAGCAAAAAATAAATAATCAAGAATAAAGAATATTTTTATGATAACAGAGAGGCATTTGAGAGATATCATAGCCTCTTGCGCTTCTCTTTTAATTACACCATTATTTAATTGCTTTCACCATCTCCTATTCTTAACGCTTTTATTAATAACAAAAATTATTAGTTAAATTACATCACAGTGTAGTTGGTTCTTTCTGAAAGACTGTAGATGTAACAATTAAATGTTGCTAATTAAATAGTTTTGAATTGTACAATAGTATACCAAACTGCAATCCCATTAAAATGCAAGAGTGTTATGGAGTGTTAATAGACTTCCGATTCTTAATTGTGAATGAAAATATTTAAAACTTTTTAAAAAATTGAAACATGTATTTCTAACATATCTGAAAATATGTATTTTATGCATATTTATCAAGATTTTACTTGTTCTATAAAGCGTAATGTTAAATTAAGTAGAATGGAATATAATAAAAATGTAAATATATTAGTGTTTAATAAAATACATAATTCATAAATATGTTTTATATAAAAAAAAAAAAAAAAAAAAATGTAAATATAATAAATTAAGTAGATGTCAAATTATTTAACAAATGATCTTATATTTGAAAACAAATAATCAGATAATCTTTAAGGCATTAATTATGTGAAGTTAAATCTTTTAAGACATGATAATATGGTAATATAAAATTACTATGAAAAAGAAAAGAAAATTCAGTAATGCTTTCGAATCTTTGAGGGGAATAAAACTCAAAGAATGACATTTCCTCGTATTTGATACATTCAAAATGCAGGATTAAAGTAATTCCCTTAGAACGTCTTAGATTGTAGAAGACAAAGAGTGTAAAACAAACACAAACACACTCTGCAGGAATGAGGAGAAACAGACATGCAGTGTAACGTACGAGAGACAGATGATCGTGGTGGACAGACTGATAGAGAGAGAGAGAGAGAGAGAGAGAGAGAGAGAGAGAGAGAGAGAGAGAGAGAGAGAGAGAGAGTGGGCAAAAGAGCAGTCAATCTGCCTTGACCCACATTCTTCTGCTAACGATGCCTCGCGGGCCTGATGCCAATCTCTCATTAACACACACACACACACACACACGCGGGCAGCCTCGCGTCCCTCTGCCCTTTGTCAGGATGTGCCTATAGCTGACCTTCAGGGTCCTGCTGTAAATACTACACTGAACACAGGTGCAACCCCCTCCAGAAACACACACACACACACACACACACACACACACACACACCTCGCTGGGGCAACCCTGGACTTAATGAAAGGTGGCAGATAGACGACTTTCGGCAGTTCTGAGAAACCAAAACGTCTTTCATCATCTCTTCTCTTTGTTAAAGTCTCTGTGTAATCCAAACTGGCTCCATTTACTTTCTTAAAACACGTTCTGGGGTTTATAATGAACGATTCATCAATACACAAGCTTTCATCACAATGTAAAAACTTCAGAAATGACTTTTCTGATGTCATCAAACCTTCTTATTTTTCAACCACCTGTCACACAAAGGCACTTTTCAATGTCCAATCAATTCCTAATTAATAAATTTAAAATCCTGTCCAAGTATCCAGTATCACATTACAAAAGTCAAATGGGTTGCAAACACTATAGTTGCACAATGACTTTAACTTACAATCTTTAAAATCTGATTCTGATCATTAAAATAAACTTATTGTCTTTGTCTATTAATATTCTAAAACACCAAATATAATCATTTGAAATATTACTACATTATTAAAATATTCTGTTTACCTGTAAAAATAGTCAGAATTATTAAATACAATAATTTAGAGTATTATTAAATTAGTAAAGTCATAATATTTTGTTTTTATAATGATCTGACTAATTTTAAATAATTATTTAAAATATTAATAAATTATAATATTTGCTGTATAATAATCTAGATTATTAAATATAATAATTTAAAATATTTTAGTAATAATTAATTAAGTAATAATATCTTATAATCAAAAGTTTAATCCTATATTTTCTTGATTTTCTCAACAGCTGAAATCTGATGGCTGCGTTCCTGCGTCCCAGTCCTGACCAAACACAAGTTTACTGTTCACACACAATTCATCCCACAAACACACACTCAATGTAAACCTGTCCTCAGACGCACACATAAAAAAACACACAAGCTCCTCGGAAATTTAGCTTTGAGAGAAACCTGTTATCATATCTGGGACTGATTCGGATCGCACCATGTCGAAGGACGACTGTAAGGTGGGCTGTAAACACAAGGAACGCAAGCCCAAAAAGCCTCACTACATCCCGCGACCGTGGGGCAAACCCTACAACTACAAATGCTTCCAGTGCCCGTTCACGTGCATGGAGAAATCCCATCTGTACAACCACATGAAGTACAGCCTGTGCAAAAACTCCCTGTCGTTGCTCATCGAGTCCGACTGGCCGTATAAAAAAGAGCAACTCCGGCTCCAGCAGGGGGGCGTTCGCTCCCGTAGCCCCGCCAAGGCTCACTCTGAGCAGGCCTCGATGTCGGACGAGCCCTCGCATTCAGCCGGTCTGGAGGTCGATGAGGCTGAGAAAAGAGAACCAGAAAGAGAAGCGGAGAAAGATGACGAAGCAATGGAGACAAACGGCTCAGCGGTTATGAGTCCCGAACCGGCGGAAGCGTGTTCCAGAGGAAGCAAACGATCAAAGCAAGAAGCCGAACTCGTGATGTCCGATGTGTTCTCGCTCGAGGAGCAACTTTTACGAGCACGCTCAGTCGAGGTGGAGTCAAAACTGCGACATTATAGGCTGTCGAAAACCTGTCTGTCGGGATCGGCGGCGTTGCTTTCAGAGCAATGGCGAATCCTTAGCAATCAGACTTCAGGAGCAAAGCCCAAATCAGACCCGGTGGCCTCTTCTTTGCCCTGTTACCCTCCACCGGGGTCAACGGGTCAACTTGAATGCCCCGACACAACGGGTTTCAATCTGTCTTTGCTTGGCGTTGGATACCCACTGGCTCCTGGACTCCTTTCATACCTAAACCCGGCACTTACGGCAGCGAGCACAAACGCACAAATGCCCTTCTTGGCATCAACCGCGCAACTCGCACACGCGCAAAGACACTCAGAGCGTCCTTTACTGCCTCCTCACCTGTATTATCCTTTCCTCTGCGAGCACAGCTTTGGTGCAACACCCTCTTCTACGTCCTCTGAGACGAGCAAACTCATCAAACCAGCCACCGTAAGCCTTCCGCCACCTTCGTATCCTCCCAAACTAAACCTGTGGAAGGTCCCGGCCCTGCGGCCCAGCCAGAGCTCACCCGCAGCCTGGCCGTCTCCCACGTGCTCCTCCCCGGAGCCGAGCCACGCCGTAAAGGAGAGGATACGATCCAGGGAAGGGAAGACAGGCTGGCAGCAAGACGCTTCCTTCATCAGAGAGCAAAGTCTGAAGAGATCATCATTAGACTCCCATGGTGCACCTGGAGAGAAGAAACCTGCACTTGAGTTTGCCCTCGACTCTCTGAAAAACACTCACAAATCCACATCCATCGCCTCCCTGGTGTCCAGCAGGATGTCTATACACAACAGGTAAGACAAGAACCCTTCAAATTATAAGGCCTATGAAGCCTGTTGTGTGATAATAAAAATAAGTAAACTCAACTCAACTTTTATTTATAAAGCACTTTCAAAACCATTAGAATGGACCAAAGTGCTTTCCATAAATAGTAAATAACTCTACAATACATAAATCACTCAGTTCTCAGACCTAATCAAAGCTATCAAAAAAAAAAAACTTAAAATAAGCTAAAAATGTCCATGCTTGACGAGGATTTTTAAGATCACGGCTACACATTCCAAAGTGCAGGTAAATAAAGATAAATACATACACAGATGCATTACATCTGGTATGAGTACTCCTTCTGTCTATGCATTACACACTCAGGACAGCCTTGATGAATGGTATTTAGATTCAATTAAACTGTGTTTCCACAGCCCCCGCAGTGACGCGTCGTCCCCGCTGCACATGTCTGAGCATCTGGAGGCGAGACAGAGAGGGATGGAGCGAGACGTGGACCCGGCAGCTGCTCTCCTGCAGGACTTCTCCACATTACTCCAGCAGTACCAGAACACAGAGCAGCGCGTCACCTCGCTGCCCGAGCAGTGCCACCTGTGGGCTCACCTGGGGAAGATCCGCTCCGAGCTGTCGCACATCCAGCAGGCGCTCGAGCGCACGGCTCGCACCAGCGAAGGCCCGCTCGATCTATCCCTCAAAAAAAAAACTGTGGGAATCCCAATCAGAGGCGTTTTAGGAGACACGGGAGATGAAAACTGCTCAGAGAGCGAGGAAGAGGAGGAGGATAAAGACGACAGAGACACGGAGGAGCGAGGGAGCAGTTTTAAAGAAAGGCAGAAGTGCTCTCTGGACGCGCTGATGAAGCTGAACCCCGTGGTGAAGACAGAGGTGCTATCCGACGCCGGGATGGCCATACGGGCCGGGACGGCTGAAGCTCTGTGGCACAGCAGGACCACGAAGTGTGAAGCCGACTCAAGTGTCCTCCTCTGCTCCAAAACACCCAACAGACCTCCGTCCATTCAACACCTGGACACGCTGTGTCCAACCAGCCCCTTAACGACCACCGACACCATGGTGTAGCGAACATCAACCGGAGGAACGGTGGAGAATAAACATGAACTTGCAGAGCATTTGACAATTGACTGACACTAAATAAATCTAAAGGATTCTATTGAGAAGTCTTTAGCATTCAAAGGTTTGGGGTCAGTGAGATTTCTTTGTTGTTGTTGTTGAAAGAAATTAATACTTTTATTCAGCAAGGATGCATTAAATTGATCAAAAATGACTATTACAAATAAATGCTCTTTTGAACTGTCTATTAAGCAAAGAATCCTGAAAAAATGTGTCAGTTTCCACAAAAAAAAATTTCAACATTGATAATAATCATAAATGTTTCTTGAGCAGCAAATCATCCTGAAGGATCATGTGACACTGAAGACTGGAGTAATGATGCTGAAAATTCAGCTTTGATCACAGGAATAAATTACAGTTTAAAACATATTACAATAGAAAATTGTTATTTTAAATTGTAATAATATTTTATCATTTTTACTGTATTTTTGATCAAATAAATGCAGCCTTAGTGAGCAGAAGAGACTCACAAAATCTGACCTACTCCAAACTTTTGAACAGTAGTGTATATAAGTACACTGTAAGATTAACATGCTATATAAAACGCTATACCATATACAAAATAAACGGTAGAACGGACTATGAAATGGTCTGATATGAAATATCAAGTAAAGCGAAGACAAAATCAAGCACCTTATGCCAAAAAGAGCTGATGGAGAAGGACAAAGTACATGCACTGACTTATTGATGATTATTTCAATTAAAATCATTGTGCCGAGTAATTATTAAGGGTCAAGGAACTACAACTGTATTTATTTAATGTATTTGTTTGTTATTTATTTTAAAACATTTTTTTTTAAACATTTGGCACATTTTTTTATTTAATTTTTTTATTTAGCATTTGATTACTCAGTTCTGCCATTTTTTTATTTTATTTTTTTAAGACTTTTTGTCTTCTGTAAATAATCAACATTTTAAATAAAATAATCTAAAGAGATGATTGTTTCACAGTCACACAATAAAATTAAAGGACGATACTGCAAATCTCACATTATCGTTTCATCAGTGTGCATTAAGTGTTCATTTCAGATGCTTACAAATCTGTACATAAAACATCCTGCAATAAATATTTCAAATGATATTAGTGCTTGTGTGAATTGTCTGCGTTGTAAGACAGCGGTGGAGGAAAAGATTTAGGTGAGGTGCGTGCGGTAAACAGAATAAATACTGATGGACAGATTAAGTGAAAGAGGTTAATGTTTCGGTTAGGATGTGGGGTAAAGCGGTTTGAGCTAATGCGTGGTGATACGTGCTTACAGGTCGACAGTATTGGTCGTGACGTGGTAAAGGTGAAGCCTGACCGTGAGCCGTACCTGAGCAGAAGCTCCTCCACACTGAAAGGTCAAAGCTTCAGGGACGAGCATCACACACTCGACACGACCCTCACGCCCGCTTTCAACACATGCACCTGAAAGGTCACCTGCCACAAACACAAGAGTCACAGTGCAGCTGCGCACCACAGAGAGGTGAAACACAGATGCCATCCATGATTATTATTAGGAATCTGGCATCAAAAATTGCTTTTATTTTTAAAAAGTCAGTGCAGATTAATGTCTCAATTATGTTTAACTTTAGAACAACTATTACCTACAGCAAATGTAAAAGAACTAAACCTGATTTGACATTTGCCAAGACAAATGGTTAAAAACATTTAAAAGTTCTGATTTTAAACATTGGGATGGAAGCATAAAACAACACACAGGCTGTGTATCTAAATAAATAAATAAATAACTGTTCATTGTTCTCTTTGTGGTTTTAAATTGATAAAACAAACCTAATTTGATTATTATTGCTAAAAAATATATATTCTCTAAAATTATCTATAAATACATTTCAATTACAATGAATCGTCAACCAATTTTTTTTAAAAAACTACAGAGAACAATTTAATCTGCTATAAAAGGACCTTTCACAGTAAAGAGTAATGCTGTGGCATCTTCTTCATTAAATAAGGCAGAAATATATAGATAAAATATATAAATATAGCAATACATAAGATACCCAACATGTAAAATACATGTAAAAAGTGGTACCACAAAAAAATGTTTAACCTAATGTTTTTCCCCTTTGTTTTTTAGGGTATTGTTTAGTAGCCATGAATAATAATAATTAGTCTGTACAACCTTCCTGAGGTAAATATCATGGTAAATATTCATCACTCTTCATTTCATTTTTTCATCACTCTTACTTACCTGATGCAGGTTGTGAACATGTTAAGTAGAGTTGTGACGTTCGCGAACGAACCGATTCTTTTGAACGGCTCATAAACATGAACGATGGGAGCCGAGTCGCGGCTGGAGGGGAGCCGTTCTTTCTGTCGTTCTTTTTTCATGCGTGTTTCACACAGATGCACACAAATTAGCTCCTCAGTTATAGGGGAAGGGGCGCACCCAGCGCAGGGGTGAAACAGCATGATGATAGTTGTGCACGCGCGCGCATCCTTTACGTGAGTACTCCAGTGGGAAAAAACCCTACGTGCCTCTGTCATTGGGTAGGAGCGGAGCCAATGACTTATGCCGTCACATGGTTACTCCAGTTAAAAAAAAAAAAAAACACTAAAGTAACACTAAGTTCCTTTGTAAATAAATACAAAGGTACTGCTTTGTATTTATTTACATTGGATTTTGTGTTCATGTTATTGTATCTACAGTATATATTTACAACTTTAAATATTTTTGTTTTTTTATCAAAATTTTCTTGTGGTATTGTATGAATAACATAAGTCAACATAGCTTTACACATACACACACTTTGTACTAAAGGTAAATCCAAAATAGTGATATCACTTTCTAAGCAGAGGGATGTTGTGCAACCCTATGGAATATGAGGTAATAATCAATATTTCAGAATAATTCAAACTCAGATATTGGTGTGTGATATCTGAGTTTTAATTATTTGACTACAAATCTCACCTCATCATTCCTCCCAGTGATTATTTCCAGGATAAACTGAGATGCCCCCAAAGCTGGCTTCTTAAAACTGACTAAATATTTAAAAAGAGCCAAAAGAGCCGTTCTTTTGAACGGCTCTTTGAAAGGAACGGATCGCCAAGATCCGGATCTCCTCAAAGAGCCATAAATCCCATCTCTAATGTTAAGTTCAATCGCGCCCTCTAGGGCACACGAAGTGAAGCGGTCCAGCATTTGCCAAAACTCACATAACTCGTCAAGTTTCAGATGTATTTTCTGAAAGTAGTATTACATATGAAACGGTTTAATTATACGCTACACCAGTATCTATAACTTTTAATATCTATACAAGCCTCTGCGTGACTCTATGCGACTGTACATTTCTAAAACGTTCCAAGTTTCCAATATCACATATCAATCGCGTTTCATAGAGTGAAGTTATAGCATTAATTTGTAGCCACACAAGATGACAACCATTAGAAGTACATTTCTGACACTTGAGGGGTTTCAGGTCTTCGATATTATAGGGTGTTCAACGCATCGTTTGAGTCGTTTATTTTTCTGTCACCTCAGTGCTGTAGGGGGCGCTGCAGATGTTTACCTGCGCTCACCCAGAGTACAGCCCTCGTTCCGGAGGACTTTTAGAAGAAGAAAAACATCTCTTAAAATACACTTTTAACACTCTAAATAGTTTACTAAATTTGTCTACTAACTATAAACATTCACCACAGGGGAATTGTGTCGTATTTTGTCAAATTTTCCAAAGAACATTTCCACCACATGATCTAAAATTATATTGAGTTGAATACGTTCTGAGGATAGAATATTAAATACAAATACTCCATCGTCTTGCTACTACTAACTACTAGTTATGACTCTAACTATTTATGTATCTAAATACATACAAATAAAATTAGCCTACCACACGTTTTGAAAAACTTCATATAATTACAGTTTGATTGGAAATAATGCTCAATAAAAATATGCTAGCATATTTCCATTTTACATATGCTACTGTATAAGCTGTATAAGCAGCACTGTTGTCATCATTGTGCACATATAACTTGATTAAAACTGTAAATTGTTTACTTACTGTTGTTTGTGATGGTTGATGCCTAGCCTATTGATCAATTAGTTTGAAAAGTAGCAAAAATTATAAAGGCATAATAGAATAATGTATTCCCAAGACTGTTTAAATTAGTCTTTAAAAACTGTTTAAATGAGGGGAGTAAAAAAGAAAAAAGCCTAGGACATACAAGATAAACCGTGCAAGAAGATGTGTTGTTTCTCTTGCTGATCAATCCAATCATGTCCGAAAGGGTTTTCAAAACATTCATTTAAAGTGGCTCAGATCTGAAAGACAAAGAGCAAAATGCAGTTTATGGTAGAGTAGGAATGTCAAAAACCATGACTTAAATCTCCAAGCCTTCAGTCCTTTGAAAATACTTGGGAAAAGTGGAGCTTTCTGAATGATGTATTCACACTTTACTTTAAGAAAGGAAACTTAATAGATGGCATTTCTACAATCACATCTCTATAGATCACATTAAGATCCTGTGCACAAAACAATTATCATGTGTGTGTGTGTCCAGTTCAGCAGCAGGATTAAGACTCTGATCCCATAAGCAAACACACACATAAACATAGACACACACTGTTATTCAGATCTGCACAGCTGTGCTGTTCAATCCCCAGCAAATCCCCACAACACCAAGGCCTCGACTCCAGATTTTCAGTATCAAGTAAAAGTACTGACACAGACCTTCATAACATCACCATGGTGGATATTCACTACATCTCTCTTGGACTAAATCATCCCAACACTTGGCAAAGCTGTTGTTTAGGTAATTGACACATTTGAACTAAAACTAAAATATTAAAAATCATTTTCTGTAATTGAAATAATTATAAATTTTAGATGAAAAACGTAAATGAAAATTAGAACTAACTGGCAACTAACTGAAATAAGTTTTGAACAAGCTGAATCTATAGACATATTTAAGGAAAACTAATAAAAAATAACAAAAGCACATAATATTT